GCATTGGCTGCCAGCCTTGGGCTGGCCTTTCCAGCGCCAGTGGAAGGAGATCTCCACCAAACAGGGCTCTCCATCCCAGCTCTTGTGCACCTACCACTGAGTTCCTACCTGGAATTCATAGAACTTGGCAGAGAACTGCACTTGGCGGATTGCTAGCTCATGTTTGATCTTCGCAACGGTCAGTTTCTTGAGGTCGTCCTCAGGGATTGCAACATGCCGGGGTTCCTCAATTTGCTCGCTTCTTTCCTCAGTCACAGACTCTTCTGGCCCTTGCAAGGTGCCATCAACAAGTCTCTCTGGTATTACTTCTTCCTCAAAGTCTTCAACAGTGCAAGTTGGAGGCGCCTCTCCATCACTGTCATACCCATCATTGAACTTATTTTCCATATTCTCAAGATTTCCAACAATACGCAATGGGGGCGATTCCATGGGTTCTGACTCTTTCCTGGACACCACATCTCGAACTGCAGCACCACCACCAGTCAGGGGTGGTAGCGGGGGTGTTTCCAGGGGTGTATCATGGTCTAGGTCAAGTTGACGGCGAGCAACACTGTCGGTCACCGTGGAATTTGCTGATGCTGCGGGACCACTTGTAGATGACCCACTGCCTGACCCTAAAACTAGCTCTAGAACATCATTTCCAGCGCTCTCTTCTGCTTCCGCTGTCTCCCCTATTGATAGTCTAGAGCCATCAAGCCCAGTAGCAGCCCTATCGGCCTCATCACTGCCCGGAACCACCTCTGTCATCTTCAGAGGAGTTGGGGCCAAGTCATTGTGTTCTGTTGTACGACTGGGACGAGGACACCCCTGCACTGGTTGATTGGACAGCCCATGGTCGAGCTGTCAACCGTCACGAGATCCACAAACCAACAATTGTGAAGTTTGTATTTCAATTGTTGCCAGTTGGGAAACGGGTCCACCGGGATGACCCCAAGTATGATCACCACTGTCCCCGTTGTGGCGGTGATCACGAGACTGAAACCCATGTTTATCGATGCCCGCATGT